CCTATGGAGCCGTTTTGCCGGCGGGGTCCTGCAGCGAAAACTGCACATTTTGCCAACTTCTCTAGAGCTTCGTTGTGCTCTACCATGTTGTATCATAGCTCGAGGGGCCTTCAAACATGCTTCTCAATGCCCTTAACCACCTCGAAAAAACGGAATGCAAATCCATGATGTCTACATCAAGTTTTAGGGTTTTGAACATGCTCCCACTGTCGAATACCGTCTTACCACCTTAATTAATATCATGCCAGGCAGTCAGTACGCACGCTCTTGGACCCGCCAGAAAAAGTTCGAACCGTCGATCGATGGGGGCAGCCCCCAACTTTGACCCTTTGGATCGTCCGATGGGGTTAGCATTAAATGCTCTCTGGCAACCGCAAATGCGGACCCTAAACTTTTGCTGGCGACGCCCTCAGGTAAGTAAAGTGAGGGCGTCGTCGCGTTCCCGAATTTTGTCTTGACACAGCCTGCCAACTGGGGAAAGAAAAGGACGGTGGTGTCAAAGCCCCAGAAGCGTGCGTACTGCATGACTGCAGGGGTGTGACCCACTGTGACTGTCCGACACACGGCGGCCGCGGCGCGGCGGCCGCGCCTGTTTGTCAGTCACTACTGTAGGTCTTCAAACCATTACCGTCAAGTAACATACTCGCCGTTGCCTAGTTTCAGGAGCAACCTGCAAATAATGCCTCTATATAGGGCCTACAGCTGGCCAGGAACATGATCTGTGAAGGGGCTGCGGAAGGACTCCTTGAAGGAGACCGTCAAAATGGTTTTGGCCGAAGCGCCATCATGCAGATTCTCTGGGATAAAGTACGCATACTCAAAGAGCGGCAAGGACGGGGCAAAGCTCGGGACCCCTGCTAGAAGCAGTCTCTGATCTGCCAGTGTGAATCTCTTATCTTGCAAGCTGTTAGGGGCGTCGGGCACTTCTTGGATGCGGCTACTTCGCCGACATGGTTCCGCCACTTGGCTTACGAGGTTACCTTATCAGCAGTTGACATCTTAGTTTGACACGCAGCAGTCAACGTTCTTACAGGACGTCCTCTGTCTGAAGGGAGCAGTCAGACTCGTGAGAGTAGCCCCGGGAAGTTTGCAGCATGCAAAGCCTGGATGGTCGAGTCCAGGTGAGCCTCTTCTGCTTCGTGCGGGATCCCACGCAGATTACAGGAGACTTCCCATTTGGGTGTTTTGCTAGACAGTGTTGGGTCCCTAATCTGAGGAGCTAGATTGCTGGGGCCTTCCCATCGAGCTGCATGAGGGTGCATCATATGCACTTTTGTGCCAGTCTTTGCAGACTCACTTAGACAGGTTGGCTGCCTAAACATCTTGTAGGATGTTGCACACTGTTCAAGTAAGGTTTACTCTGAGATTGTTTACCGCCGGGTTGTGGGCTTCGGGTGTTCTATTTACGACCACAAATCTTCAAAAGGTCATGCCAGACCTCTTGAGGTCACAGGCGTCCGACTTGATTGGCTTGTCGCTTCTCTTGACCGCGCGGCCCACCAGCCCTCCTGCCGTGGCTTGGATTACTATTTTCGATTTATCACTGGGCCGCATCCACCTGAATCAATTTCTCAGCGTACTGGCTTGTTCATCCTGAAGACATTAATGAAAGTTCTCACCTGGAGTAGCGTGCACACTCGGGAGTTTGGTTGGACGAGGCAAATCTAAACCAGCGGGCAACTTGTTGGGGTGTTTCAGATCTTGTAGTCGACTGCACAGATCATGTCTCGCTAAGTTTGAGGCTTTTGACGAGGCCGCACTTACTGATTGCTTGCTTCTGTCCAACCTTTCTGACCTCTTTTAGGGTTTACCCAAGTATGGGGTAGGTTGCCTTCGAGCAACATAGTGTTAGACATTGGTGAAAATTCTTAGTGCAAGGTCACTGCATGCAGCAGAGTTGTTCAAGGTCTGGAGCCGCTAGATCAGGTCATTGGCACGCGCCTTGATCCCCTCCTCGGCTCAATTTCGTGGTCGTCGGGCAATGCTCCTTGACATCTTAGATATGCATCCCTTGACAAAGTGGGCACTCCCTCGCTTCGCCCCCCCTGGCGCTCGTGTCTCAGGTTCGGTCCGCCATGTTTGTGCAGGGGCGGCTGCCCCAGCTGCGGCTGAAGGAGCTGAAGGAGGTGCTGGCGCGCCTCGGCCTGCCGCGCGTGGGCGCCAAGGCGGTGCTCCTCGACCGCATTGCCAAGGCCCTCGAGGCGCCCCCCTCCGACGGGGAGGCCTGGGACTCTTTCCCCATTGCGGCCATGGGCCGCTCCCGCCATGTGAGCAAGGAGGCGGTGGAGCGCGCGGTGGACGACGTGTGGCAGGCCTGGCACCGGGGGGGCGCCGCCAGGACCCCCGAGAAGAGGGAACCGCGCCCCCCCAAGCGCGAGGGGGTTGTGCGGTGCGTGTGCCACACGCTGGTGGCGCAGGGGGCCATGGCGCAGTGCTGCGACTGCCGCGTGTGGCAGCACAACAAGTGCGTGGCCCTCGACGATGCCTCCGCGCTGGGGGAGTTCCGCTGCGAGGCATGCCGGCTGGCCAAGGGGGATCCCTTCTCGGTGGCCGTCGCGCAGCCCCTCCCTGCGGCCAAGCTGCGGCCGCCGCTGGTGGCGCCGGTGCGCGGGGACAATATGATGCAGCAGGTGGAACGCACGTTCCAGCTGTCGGCCGCGCACCGGGAAATGCTGCTCAACCCGGACCACGACCTGCAAGTACGTTTCACAACGCGGGGGTGGGGGCATGCGATTCCTTGTTGATGCATTTGTGCGGAAGTATAAGCTGCGTTTGAGACAGCGTGTCATGGGGATTTCAGTGTTCGGTTCTGGCTAGTGATAGCACGTTGGGCAGGCCCTTGCTGTGTGAGAGTGTTCAAAGCGTCTAATAGAGTTAATGGAGGCTGCCGTAAACTCTGATTGGAAAGCTCTTGTCCACGTCATCGTCCTTCTGTTGTCTGTTGCGAGGGCGCCTGGCAAACCACGCTTGCCCCTTGAATGTCTTGGCCAAGCAGCAATGCTGCTCGGCAGACACTGCCCGACGTGTGACATGCAAGCTGCCGATGTCTGACGACGGTCGTCTGACGGCGCTGCGCGTGGCTCCAGGTGTACAGCGTGCTGTTGAACGACCCCGTGCCGTACCGGTGCCACTGGCCCGCGTATCCGGACCTGCGCATAAACGGCATGGTGGTGCGCGTGACGGGCCGGCAGGGCCAGCAGAAACTAGGCGTAGGAGGCCGGGATGAGACTCCCAGCGTGAGTGTAGTGCCAGCTTCTCTCGGGCCAATGTCGCTAGCCTGACGGCGGGAAGCAGCGATCGAATCGGGGGAATGTGAAGCGAGTGATATCTGTGGAGGTAGCGATTCAATACGTGGTGAACGCAGTGTGTTTGGATTGCTGAAGCTGAGCGGTCTATTAACCACAGTGTCCACATTGGCTGTTGAAAAGCGTTCAGCATGGCCATACGGTTGGTGGGTGGCTCAATTCGTGCTGCCCCTGCTCTTTTTGACAATTGCGGAGTCGGTTGCTGGTTGCCTAGCCCGAGCAAGCGGAATGTGGCTGCAGTGAGACGCACCAGGAAGTGGCAGTGGCCGTTGCTGCAATCGACGTCGCCTGACTCGCCCTGGGTGGTTGTGCAGATTGCCACCGTGGCACGCGATGGCCTCAACCGGCTCTCCCTGTCCGCGTATGATGACCGGCCCTTTTGTGTGGGCGTACGCATCATCGAGAAGCGGTCTCTGGAGGAGGTGAGACTCCGCCACAGCCACTCCCGTCATGCCGCTGACCGCCCGTTTCGTGCTTTCCTTTCTTCCTCCCCTGAAAGGCGGACGGCCCTTAAGATCTTGTAAGCTTAGTGGAGGGCTGCCGTCATCTCTACTTTCCTACGAGATTCGCCTCTCTTCCCGAATTAGGGCAAGTATCTGCTTCGTTGGCCTTCACCAGGATGCCTCAAGCGCCATTCGGCTGTAGCATGAATGTCCGCTTCAGATGATACCCTGCGGTAGCGAGCGTCTCACCTGCGGCCGTTGTGACCGTGCAGATCATGGCGCGCGTCCCTGGGCCGGAGGAGGGCGAAACTTTCGAGGACGCGCTGGCGCGGGTGAAGCGGGTGGTGGCCGGCAGTGGGGGCGACGCCGACGACAGCGACGACGAGCTCATGACGCTGCAGTCGGCCGTCTCCGTGCGCGACCCGGTGCGTACCCGTGCCGAGGCTTATTGGGTTCTTGTGTGGCGCTGTACACAGCCCGTGTAGTCAGCTTGCTGCGAGTGGCAAGTCACGGAGCTCACAGGAAACACGAGGTGTTTCAAGCAGAAGTGATCATTTTCTCGTCAGATAGCGCAGACTGGCACAGTGGAGTCTGACGGGATGCCTCTTTTGTTCCCCAGATGAGCGGCGTGCGCATTCAGGTCCCCGGCCGCTTCCGGTCGTGCAGCCACCTGGCGTGCTTCGACCTGCCGACGCTGGTGGAGATGAACCGGCGCGCGCGCAAGTGGCAGTGCCCGCACTGCCTGCACAACTGCAGCCTGGACGATCTCATCATCGACCCGTACTTCCACCGCGTGCTCGCCGTCTTCAGCGCCGAGCACGACAGCGACCACACCGACCTCGAGATCGCGCCCGACGGCGCCTGGCGCGCGTTTCTCAGCGGAGACGCCAAGAAGGCGGCGGGGGGGGTGCAGCCGCGGTGGCACAAGCCCGAGGAGACGACGTACGTGGCGCCCCCGCCAGAGGAGCAGCCGGCGCCGGTGGTGAAGAAGGAGGACGAGGGCCGGCGAGGGTCAGGCATCCTGAAGATCCGGCTGAAGCGGGACAGGGGGGACGCGCAGGGGGCGTGGCAGATCGAGCGGCACGAGAATGGAACGGCAGAGCGGCCGGCGAAGCTGGCGAGGACTGATACGGATGGGGGCAGTAGCGACCGCAAGAGCGACGTCAACAAGGCGCTCGCGGCGGACGAGGGGGGCACGGGCAAGAACCTGGTGATCGACCTCAGCGACAGCGACGACGACGACGACCTCGTGGTGGCGGCGCGGCCGGCAGACAAGAAGAGCGCCAACGGGTGGGGCGGGGCGGGGGGCGCCGCGGAGCAGGGGCCCGCGCAGCTCGAGGCGCGGGGCTTGCACGACCTGCTGGCAGCGGCTGCGGCGGCAGACGGGCCGTCCGTATCAGGCGGGGCACCGGCGTCGGAGGGGCAGCGGCAAAGCAGCCCCCACACTGCGGACGCACATGCGGGGGGAGCCGCCCAGGGGGAGGGGCTGTGGGGACGGGGCGGGGGGGAGAGGTACTGGGGGGAGGCGCGAGTTCCGGGCCTGGCAGAGCCGCGGCATGGGGCGGGGCCCCCGCCACTGGAGGGGGGCTTCGTAGCAGCGCCCGCCTTCGACACGGGGGTCAGCGTAGCGTTCTCGATGCCGCGCTCTCCGGGATTCGGCGCTCAGCCGGGGGCAAGCTCGGAAGCAGGGCGCCGGCTTCCTTCGTTTGTACATTCGAACTCGGAGGTGTCGCGGGGGCCGGGCTTTAGGAGGTACGCGGAGGCGGGGCGCGGTGGGGGCGAGGGCCTCGTGCCCAGCTGGCCCCCCCGAAAGGTGGCAGCGAGCGGCCACCCCAAGGGGCAGCGCACCAACCGCACGTCCAGCCCCGCGCGCTGGGGGGACTTCGCGAGCCGCAGCGGGGGAGACCTGTACGCAGCGCCGCCAGAGCAAAGGAACGGCTTTGGGGGGGCAGGATACGGTGCTGCCAGTCTGCCGGGCGGAGGGGCCACGTTGGCCAGACAGACGGATGCTGTTGATCCGAGGAACGGGTTTGGAGGCTCCAATTACGACCGGTTTGGCGGGGGCGTGGGCCCCTCGGGTGGGGACAGCCACCCCCCTGGCTTTGGGCCGGGGGAATGTGGCGACACAGGCGCAGCGCGGGGCAGGCCGGCCGAATTTGATCCTTTCGCCATGGGGGGCCTCGAGGACGACATGTCGTGGCGGGGGTACCTGGAGCGGGAGCGCAGCCCGGAGCAGGCGGGGCAGGCAGAGCACGGTGCGGGGGGGGGGGACTGGTTCCCAGGATCGGGTCAGTTTGACGCGGGAGGATTGGACCCAGGGGCCGTGCGAGATGGGGGGGGCAGGAACGGGGTCAGGGACGGCGATAACATGGATGCGTGGTTCCGGGACACGTTTGGGGCCGATGACATGGGACACTTCGGAGGACTGGAGGACACTGCGAGGGGGGGGCTCGGAGCAGGGGGGGTGTGGCACTGACGAGCTTTGACACGAGCTTGCAAAGGTATACTGGTGTTGGAGCACTAGGGATCTCGGGAGGCAGTGACACATACAAATTGTATATGGGTTCCAAGACTGTGTCACAGTCATGTCGTAGCCTGCAATGTCAGGCTCGCACCCTTGAATAACATTGACTACTTATTCCAGGTTTCTTCGACAAATGGTGCCTGTGGTGATGAGATGGTCGGTCCGACTCTCTCTCCTTGGTTTGAGCAAAGCAAGCATGTTTGAGATTGCAAAAGACTATCGAACCTGCATGAGCTGTTGAACTCGTCTCTGCTAATCCACGTTTTAGGATGCGCAAAATCGATATTGCGCATTATGCAGCTCTATTGATAATGGTGTTTGGACGCGCAACTTTAGCAGTAAAGGACTCGACGGACGGTCACTGAAATAAGACATGGCTTTATGCCGCCATCAAATTGCATGCTGCCTCCGCGTCATGATGCTGGAGCATCTACAGGTGGCTCGAACTTGAGGTCCCCATGCTGAGCTAGCTGCCTAGCTGGTATCACCTATGTGCGTATATAATGATGACCGGGCGGCCATTATCTCTGCAATCTGTATAGTTAATTGAGCGGTCGCGTGTTGTCCATGGCCAGCACACGTCACATGAGCCCCGCGGCCGGCTCTATGCAGATGTGATTTCAATCAGATTGCATGCATTCGGTTGGCCGTAGCCTAGCCTATTTGCGGCGATTAGCTAGTACCCGGCAGCTTCCTCAAGTTTGTTTGCTTACAGCTTTAGTTCAGGACCGTACGAGTGCTTCCTCACATGCAGCTCCGGCCGCCGTCACTGCATATGTGTGACTGACTGTTACTGGAAACGGGTCCGAAGTGATGGCGCGCGCTTGTGGGCGTTCATGTTTACGAAACACATGCAATAGTTGAGGCCACTGCATAGACACGCGGGCTGCACTGGATCCTAGGTTGATATGCCAAGAAAATATTCGCGTCATGCACCGACTCTATGGGCATTGCATCTTCACATGCCCATCAGTAAAAGATCGATGAAGGACACTTGATCTCTGAGCGTTTCAGCTCGAGCCCGTCCCAAAGTATGCCAGCAGCTCGAATCTCGCACAATGGAGCCCCTGCAACAGCTGATCTCTCAAGTGGCGCTGCGCCCGCAGTTCACCTTACGGACCCCCCTGCCAGCGCCGTGAGTGAGTGTCATGGCGTGTGTCCTTCTTATGGAGACTTCTCTCAAGGTACATCGCTCCTGATCTCCACTTATACCCCTCGGTCCAAGGCCATCCGCTTGAAGAGCCTTGAATGTATCGTCCGTAGCTCGAGCTAGCTGCGACCCACGACACCCGGCCAAGGTCACTGCAGAGAGCAACGGAGGAGGTGAGGTGGACCATCTCACAATGCGTCATGGAGCAGGCGGGTGTACAAAGAGTTACGTCAACTCGGCAGAGTGTTGCTTTTCTTCTATTTTTATTCAGCGGGCCATAAAGTAGACAAGAACGGTGAAAGCGGTGCCTAAGCCACTCCGCAGGCGCGCCAAGGGATTTCATCCTTCTAAAGACTGAGCACCGAGTGGCAGCTCTCGAGGAGGGCAGCGTACCAGAGTGAGGCGGCCGCAGAGGCGCCAGTGCGCGTCCTTGATCCACAGCGCGCGCTCAAACACCCAGTGGTCCTCCACCTCCAGCTGCACCGTACACCACACGCACTGCGCGTCAGCCGCAGCTGGCACGGAGGCGCGCCGGCAAAGCAAGCGGCGAGAAGCAGAAGGGCCTCAGCCCCCCTGATGAACAGGAGCACAACAAGCTGTGCGATTCGACGTGTCACCGCTACGCCCGCCAGGCTGTTTTCTGCAGACGGGCGGACTAATCCCCCAAAACACTTACGACCAAGACCACAGTGGTACCTCCGGCAGTGCAGTCGAAGGGAACGGAAGACACTGGCAGGTGCCGGGTGCGGTACTTACTTCCTGCTCGGGGCTGCCCGCCAGCAGGTGGCCTTTGCGGTCGTATGCCGCAAACTTCTGGCGGCTCCGCAGCCGCACGGTGACCTGCGCAAACGCGAGGCTCGTGTTCTTGGGGTCCACGCCCACCTGCACATAGCGCACCCCGCAACGCAGTCAGCACCCAGCCAACGGCAGAGGAGCAAGCGAAATCAGCGGGACAGAAGTACAAATGTGTAATCGGACTGCACTTACAGCAACAGACTGGGGAAGTGAGAAAGCCAGGTACAAACTTTTCCACCCACAGTAGGCGTACAGTGCTTTTGCGGAACTTCTACTCCTACAGACCCGACCAGCCGCAGAGGGCCCCCAGCCGGGTCCAGCTCCTCTGCAGCCACAACGGCTGCGAGGGCAGGCTACTTGACAGAGAGGCCGGCAAGCAGGCGGCCGCGCCCCACGGTACCAAGTGGATCAGACTGCCACACCCGGCAAACCAGGTTTGCGCCCCGCATACCACTTCGAAATTGCTCCCCTTCTGTCGGGCTTAGCTGTGGTGCGCACTCACCATCCTGCCGTGCACGGTGCGGCACTGCATGGCGGCGGGGTCGGGCAGGTCCCACGCGACGGAGGCCCAGCCCCCGCGGCGGCGCACCTCGAGCTCCTGCTTCATTTGGCCCAGCGTGCGCTCCGTCACCAGGCCGCGCAGCACGCCCGTGTCGCCTGCCGCCAACGCGCGGTTGATGGCCAGGTACAGGCGAGTCACGTCGCGGAAGAACAGCGGCACGTTGTATCCCGGGATGGCGCGCTTCACCTGCGCCGGTGGGGGGGAGGACGGGGTCGGAGGGAAGCCTATGCCGATGACCAGCCAGCGGATTGGAGAAACAGGAAGGCCACACCCAGGAGGTCTGTACAAGCAGCGAAGCGCTCGACGCATCTGTCTTTGTGCAATAATTCCAGTAAGAAGATGGCGCCCCCAGAAGGCATGAGGCCAGCGGCACCTGGCGACCTTCACACCGCAGAATGGTTTGCTGTGCTGCAGAGCCTAGAGAACGACAGCAGGGCCCTGAGGCTCACCTTGGCAATGGCGTACCCCGTCTTGAGGTAGCTCAGTATGTTGTCCTTGCGCACGCGCCAGCCCTCCAGCGTCAGCCACCGCCTGTGCAAGCAAAGCCTCAATATAACTGATTGCGAGTGAAGGCCGTGGCAAGCTGCTACAGCCAGTCACCAGCATTGCAGACTCTGCTCCACCACCCCACCACCCAGCTCTGCAACGGGTCAGACGAGACGAGCAGACGCCAGTTGAAAGAAGTACTGCGCTGATCATCAAGTTTCACACTTGGATGCACAGGCTGGCCCCTCACCTCCATAGCGGCAGCACCCGCGGCTTCTTGTATGGTTCCACCACCGTGTTGACGCTCTGCGCCGCCAACCGCAAGGTGCGCACCTGCGCCACGCGGGGCTTGGCCCGCACGTCCTGGCTGAAGTGCCGCACGTGCAAACCGGGCGACAAACTAAGCCACGCCGCAGGGGTGCGGGCCAGGATTCTGCTCTGCTTCAAGTGGAAATGAGTATTGGGGGGTTGCGCGCCTGATGATTGAAGTTCTGCTGCTGTACCACCAGTAAAAGGATATTCAGCAGCGCAATCATGCTCCGTAGTGGTGCAGCAGTGGCGCCCTGCTGCTAGATTCAGGAGTAGGGAGGGCGCTGGCAGTGACTGGGACTCCAACTCAGAGTAGCTGCTTCCAAGAGTCGCACAAGTCAAGGGGCGCCCATCTTGACCCTGCTGCACACGCCATCCCAAGAGCGTGTCCACAACTGCTGATGGGGGGTTCTGCCAGCTTTGTAACCGATGATGTGCCACTGAGCTTGACTCCTGAGCACAGTAGTGAGACCACCCCTGCGGTAGGACACCCGTGTGCACCACTGGCACAGCATTGCCTGTGCTGAATGGCGGCCAACGCAACAGGAGGCCACCCAGCGGCAGGTGCTTTGCATCATTGCTAGCAGTAAGCAGCTTCCCCAGTCCCGCAGCGACAGAAGAGCCGGAAAGCCGACGTAGAGCCGCCATGGGAGCCGCCATGAGCGTCGATTGCTGTTGATCTCCGAGTCCCATCACCACCACCGGTGGGTGCAGTCAAGGTGGGACCTGCGCATCGCTTATGTGCGAACGCTATAGGATATTGGTTTGGGGCAAGCTTATATGCAGGGCAGACCGCGTGGGCTGCACACGAGTGAACCGTAACGCGCTACTGGCGCTAGGACTAGACTGGATGATGGTCTCTTTTCGTGACGCCGTAGCCAGTGCGGCTTCTCACGGCACACAATTGTTGTGTTTGAAGATGTCCGCTTCTATCAACTTATGACAAGCCTAAGCCTAAGCCTAAGATGATTGCAGCGTTATCGTGCATCTGAGGTGCCATTGGCCGCATATGACATTCAACCAATGCGGTATATAGAATTAGCAGCTAACTTAGTTGGTCGACGCTGGATGTCAACCTTATCTAGACGTCATTGCTGTAGATAATACTGTTTTATAGCTCGATGTCGAGCCCGACGTTGCAAAGCGTTACATATGTGAAATTTCGTCGCACTTGCACAAGTCCGGAGTGCCCTATGAAAGCAGCCCGTGCCATGGGGTTCATGAAGTTGTTTCATACGCTGACTGTGCCAAGTGCACTTTTGGCCTTGAGCGGCCGGTGGCTCAAGTACACGAGGAGGCGCAAGACTCAGCAGTCCTCGACTGAAGGCCCGCTTACTGATCTGACTGTCTTCAATCCTTAAATCTTCAAGCCCAAGCAAGACAGCAGGTACTCCAATCTAAACCACCAAGGTGAGGAGCCCGAAGAACCTCTGTTCACCGAAATTAATTGATTATTTGGCTCCTTCAGTTGACTTTCCCTATTCATGCCTGACGATTAACCACTCGACCTTTTCTCCGTCACGTCTGCCCTGCATCTAACCCCCGGCCCCTGCTCACGTCCCTACCGCGCCTTGCTGTCGGCCCTGGCCGCTTCTTGTTCTTGTTCCCTGGCTGCCGCCTCCGCCGCCAGCTGGTCCGCCTCCCTGGCCAGCTGCTCCTGGAACTGCTGCGCCTCCGCGTCGCGCCGCGCGCGCGCCTCCTCCTCGTCCTCCTTGTCGTCCTCCTCCTCGAACTGGTGCTCCATCGACATGGCCTGCGCCGCAGCCCGGCACCGGGTCAGTCGGCCCTTGCCGCCTGCCGCAGTGGACAAGGCCACGCACCGCAGTCCTTCACAAGGCATGCACGTCCCTAAAGTCGCTATCAACAAAAGGGACCGAAAGCAGAAGTCAGCGTCATGCACACACCCTACAAATCATACTGAAGCCAGGTGCGACGATTGTCGCCCATGTCCGCCTGGACACGAGAAGCACGGCCGTGCAGTCGCAGTCTGATGGTCTGCTTTTGCGGCGACTCAGGTGTGACTCCCTCGCTCGGGGTGGGCCTCGTCCTCCCGGCGCGCGGCGCACTTCCCGCGTTGTCTTGCTGAGATAACCCTCAATTGTCAAGAGATTTAGGGGCTCAAGGAGTACTGCCGTTAATGCAAGAAACCCTAATCAAATGTGCCTGCTCCGCATCCTGTCCCGTCCCAAGGCAACGAGCTTAGGTTAGTTTAACAAATCCCATTGACTACTATCCCGCAACTCCGGACCGATCGGTGCTGACCTTGATGATGGGGTCTCGCAGCTCGTTGATGAGCGTGCCCGCCTTTTGGTACGCGGCCGCGTCACCCACGAGGTACAGCCGCTGTTCCGCTGCGCCCGCCGCGGTCGGCACGTCCACCGAGATCAGCTTGAACTCGTACTGCACGCACCGCAGCCGAGGGGGCGCGCGTCAGCCGGAGCGGACACGACCGCCTCTGTGGCATAGCGTCTGCCAGACCCCAGCTCATCCGTGTTTTGTTTGCGGCATGCGTTATGGAACAAACATCGGGGAATCCTAAACAGGGTGACGAGACTTTGATATCTCTCATCATCCAGTTCAGTCGTTCAAATTTGCAAACGAACGGGTGGGGTATGGAACCAGATCTCGAGCCGAATTCGACGATCACGGCAGCCACGAGCGGTCGTCCCCCGCCTCCTGCCGGCCCTGCTCGCCGCGTGGCCCCTTGCTCTCACCTTGCCGTGCCGCTTCTTGGCTTCGACCGACACGAGGCCGCGCCGCTCGGAGCCCCGGACGGGGAAGATGAGGTACGCGCGCTTGGTGGAGAACTTGGGGGTGAGGCCCCTTATGCGGATGCCGCCCCCCGACATGACGTATGCACGCACGTCAGAGCCGGTCAGGGGGGCACCCAGCACCTCGAGCGCCGACGGGAAGGTGTTCACCTGCAGGGAAAGGGAAAAGGCGGGGCCGTTAAAATCAATCCTGGATCTGACGCAAAGGACCAGGCGGTTGGCGTCCTATGCCGTCACCAACCAACCGGAATCTGCTTCACTGATGGCGCCGCAACATACAAAGACACAATCTACTGACGGATTGGATTGCACTGGAGGCCTTCTTACAGAAGAGCCATCGATTTGAGCAATGTTCGACCTTCCAGAGAGCTTTCAAGTTGCGCTCGGGCCTCCCTGGACTTTCGAGGAGACGGAGGATGACAGCGATGACCATATATTGTTGGCTGCAAAGTTAAGAATGTCGGAACCTTGACAGAGGAGCGGGAGTGAAGCGCGACACCTGTCGCATGACCTGGCGGTAGACGGAGTCGGGGTTGATGCTCATGCGGCGCCGCAGGTACAGCCCCTGGCAGCAACAAAACAGACGGCGGTGTCACTGGCAGGGGGAGGACGAGGGCGGCAGCTGCCCTCCCGGCAAAAGGTGGACAACACCGAGTAAGCTTGACACACGTCTGCTTCCCCTGCACCATTGAACTCCGAAGTCTCCTGTTGTCGACTTTCATCGCCTTACACGAGTCTGCCTCATCTTGAGTACCAGAACACATTACGACGTGCAAGGTGGCAGCTCTTTGAGGATTGACGCTGCGACTTAGTAGCTAGAAGCTTCTGCGTGCACTTTTGAGTGGCCGTATGAGTTTCAACACATTGCCTGCTTTCCTAGTCAAATTTTTCGCAGGGTATCGAAAAGCTTACCGTCATAAGAACCATGGAACTAGCCAGCGCCAGGAACCCGAGATTGGCCATCCATTCTGTGAAAACGGAACGTAGCATATTTGAGAGATCGAACGATGAGCCGTTCAGTTGCGGGTCAGTGGATGCATCCGAGTCAAAATATCCAGGTTCCTGCAATCAGGTTTTGGGGCCGTATTCTCTTGGTCTGCTCGTCCTGAATTGGGGACCGCCGTCAAGGTTCGACTTTTCACCAGAAGCGCTCTGGGGGATGCACCGTCGGACCGCGCCAGATCTGGGTCATCATCCTGACCGTGGGGTCACCTGAGAAGTTGAGGAAGATGGAGGCCAGCCAGAACATGACCCGCCACAGGATGAGGACGACGGCCAGGCCCAGGGCCCCGTACAGGAGCAGGCTGTTGCGGTTCCAGAAGCCAGCCACCTGGAGCACAGGTTGGACCAACCGTCACAAGAAACCCAGGGGAGAAACGTGAAAGATCTACAAGAAATGGCCCGCTGCAATCGATTGTCCCGTTTGAAAGGTCGAGGGAATCAACAGGGACATCTTGGAGAAGAACACGAAGGAAAAGGATTGGTGGTGGCAGGTGGGACTGGACAATTCAAGGAGACATGACGTTACGGGGGAGAAAGAATTGACATGGTCAATGTTTGGAACAGCTGTAGTAAACGACAAAGCATCCGAAAGCAGGGGCACCTCTTCTCCGCAACTTCTCTACGAATAAGCAGGAGTTGCGAAGTTGGGGACAGATGCAAGATGAGGAGAACACAGGATCAGGCGGAACAGCTCCCATGCTGGCAGCACCGTGGTGGCAGCATGGGATGAACAATGGGCCAGCTCACGAGCTATTCCTCACCTGCAGCCCGAGGGCATGCCGGTAGCGGGCCCCCGCCCCTGTGAGGGAGTCAAAGGCTGCGGCCCCCTTCTCCGCCACCCCGGCGGCCACATTGCGCGGCTGGGCCACCGCAGACCGCGTCTGGCTGCGGAGGCGCTGCGCCCATCCCTGCTGCTCGCTGGGGGCCGGGCTGCTAGAAAAGGAGCGCCAGCCAGCGGTCTGCCTGACACCAGGGGGCAGGCCAGCAGAGAGGATGGGCAGGGAGAGGGCAGGGCAGGAAGGGTGCAGGAGCAGAGGAGCGCAGCTCCCGGGGGCCGTAGAGAAGGGTCTGCTCAGCAGCGGCGCCCCATCGCCACAGTGTGGAACTTTCAGAGAAGCCTCTTGCACAACGCTCGAGGTGGCACTGTTGAGAATGGGAAGAATGGCGGGCGTGATGGCTTGTTGGAGAAAATGTGATTTACTTTCAATGTGAGGGGCGACAGAGTGCCATTGGAATGCTGTTTCTGCTGGGAATCTGATTGCATTGCTCTGCGCCTGGACGGCGGAGGATGACAGTGCTCTGAAGGCCCATGTGCGCACATGCAATTCTGCAGTGATTGGTGGCAGGGGCAGACCCAGTGCTGGGCTCCTCAGCGGAAGCTCTTTCCACAACGGAGTGATCTGGCCGAAGCCAGCATAGCCAGGCCAGCTACGCGTAGATCTCAAGGCAGACGCAACCAATCGGATGCCCTGAAGCGATCCCATGCTGCAGCGTCCCAAGATTGCCCCCGAACCCTCCAAGCTGTTTGCCCACTGGTGCGTGCAGCCTGTACATATCCGTGATCAAGACGATTTAGGTTCCCCACTACCTACACAGGGCAAGGTACCCAGGCTACGGTACTACGGTAGGTACCGGTATAGGTAAGGTAGCCTAGGTACCGGTATAGGTAAGGTACCTGCCTACCTATATACGAGCCCCGTGTATACGCTATTGGCATATTGCCCCAGAGTGGTACCTTTATGTGGCTTGGATTCGTCCTTTCTCGAACTTGGCAACTGGGTAAGTGGGTAGGACCTGTATCGACGGTCACTCAATTTCCATCATCGAACTGGTGACTGGGAACGGGTGCAGATGTACGAGATGATATGTACCTCTAAGAGGTAAATCACACTCAAGAAAGAGTATCCTTTATAAGTCAAGATCAAATAATAAGCTTTGACTAACAAAAGAACCCTAACCCAAGAAGATACCTGATCCGCACCCGCACCCACCCTAAAAACCAGGCTAACCCTATCCGTCCCAATGCGGTTACCTTATTGTTATCTCGGCTAATATACGTACTGATAAATATTTCCCAACTGTCGATTTGCTCTCTGGCCCCTGCCAGTGCCAATGGTGAATGGATGAGATGCATAGAGGGTTGACCATCCTCCAAAACAGGCATCCAGTGCTGCGTCTGCAGGGAAGCAGGACCGCCTGTTTGTACTGAATATAGGCGGCCTCTGTCGCTATAGTCCTAGACTTTCGCATAGCGGCCCAGGGACTGTTGCAGAGGCGGCATCACCGCTGTTTGCCTGTTGCGCAGACCGCATGCTACTGAGGCCATATAAAGTGAATCTGCTTTAGGTGATTGTGCGCGGATGCGCTGAGTTTGTGTTGTGGTTCGCTGCCATGAGTGAGAAAAGCATGACACCGCAGAAGCAGGGGAAAGTGGACGGAGCAGAGAGCAAGAAGGCCGATGTACTGGAGGAGAAGAGCGTGGAGGAACTGCAGGAGTACCTGGAAGAATTCAGAACAAAGCTACTGGACGATGTAAGTGGATGGCCATGGTTGGGATTGCATGGCGGACAAAGGGTCCCCTGAGGTGCTTTCACACCTCCCGTGCATTTACGCTTCTGGCTTGCATGATTGTGCTTATAAGCGCAGATTGTGGGAAGATATCTTCTCGCTTGTGCAGATTGATTCGTGTATTTCCAGTCGCTAATTTTGGCGAGTTACTGTAAGCATGCGGTGAGAAAGGATGTGGCTGACTGGTAAAAGATGGTATCAGTTCTGTTACATCATCGCTGGTAAACGCAAGTCGAATATGGAACAGAGGTCAAGAGGACGTTCCACTCAAATGCCTGCAAACTCACAATTCAGAGTTGTTATGATCGACGGAACTGTTAGAGGCCCAGCTCGTGCACACTGAGCACAATCTGCGAATGCCTCTTGCAGTGGTCTAGTTTTAGGTGGCAGCGTGCATGTCTCATTCACAAACAGGTTTGTTCCTGATTGGAAGGAGCTTTTGCTGTCAACAAATCAAGAAGTTCGGTGCTCGATTATGCTGGAGAATGTGCCATCCCATTCAATTCTGTTCCCACTGTCACCCTCAAGCCCTCCTAATTGCCTGTTCTATTGTCTCAGCTACTTGTCAAGCTTTGGGCGCCGGTTTGTTGCCAAGCTGCAAACTTGATGCACCATCACATTGGCAAGGCTGTAGGGAGTTGGAATGGGCCCGCTGCTGCTATGCATTATGTTGCGTTGCGGATCCGCCACCTTTTTCCTGGTGCGTTGTCACCTTGAAAGATTCTGACACCAGGTGACTACAACAGGCATGGGCAACTGGTGGTATGCTTTTCACCCCGCGTCTTTCTTGTGCTGATCTGAGTTCTTTTGGTGTGCCTCTCAGGGGGTGCTGGATGAGCAGTTCACTCAGCTCCAGCAGTTGCAAGACGACAGCAACCAGGACTTTGTCAAGGAGGTTGTCGACCTGTTCTTTGAGGACTCCACAAAGCTGCTGGACCAGCTATCGAAAGAAGTGTAAGCTTCCCACAGCAGCGCTGACCACAAGAAGCAAGCAGCTAGCCTGTCAACGTACAAGCAATCTACGCAGCAATACTGGGTTGCCTGCCTGTGTAATTGGGGTCTACCATTTTTGTCACTGTTGCTCTTTGATGCACTACTGCTAAGTCAGAAGCAGCTGCTTACAATGTTTGGACCGATCTGCTCCAGCTGCTGGCATCCATTGTAGACCGTCGGTTGACACTGCCGCATGACCTCATGCTTGGGTTGTCCGCTTGTTGCAGGAAAACGGAACCCATAGATTACAAGCAAGTGGATGCGCACGTACACCAATTTAAGGGGAGCAGCTCAAGGTGAGCACACTCGTTGCACAAACTGGAACTGCAGGCCCCGCCTGCCGTCAGGCCCCCCGCTGGTCGACTGGTGCAGGGCGTGGGAACACACCCCTCCTTGATTGCTGGAACATTCTCTGAATGTTCGCCATTCAGCAGCGGTCTCTGGGTGGCTGCATTGGTCCTGGGCCTGCCCTTCCCTTCACTCTCCCACCAAAGACCTTGGGCCGGTGTCTGATGAGCGTATGGTTCTTGGCCTGCAGTGTGGGAGCCCACCGCGTAACCGAGGTTTGCAAGAGCTTCCGGCTGTGCTGCGACAAAGAGGATGCACCCGGGTGAGTCGCGGCTGCTGCTCCACCAGATGCGCTCATTGCGCCGGGGTACAGGCTGCGGCCGTGCCCCTTTGCTTTTGGGGGCTCGCAGTGGATTGCAGCGGGCACCGCCAATGCTTGCAGGATCTTGCTAGCACGCGATGACAGCTAATTCTTGGTGTGTTCCCCTGCTACAGGTGCAAAGCCTCCCTGGAGAAGGTGAAGCAGGAATTTGCGCTCTTCAAAGCGAAGCTGGGGGAGCTTCTAGATGTGAGTGCCTATTGCTGGCAGGGCTCTGATCGTTTGTTGCGCTCTCCTCAGGGTGAACGCTATCTCATCTCGCCTGGATGAATGTGGCGCAAGGTTATTGGGAGGAAGCGTTTGAAAGGTTGTGTTTGTCATAGATGAGAAGCTGATTCAGATCCAGATGTTTAAAATCCTTGAACGTTGCTGCAAACCCGGGGACATCCATAGAGACTGTGGCTTTCTTCCCTTTTCCCAGATTGAGTCGAAGATCATTGAAAAAGGAGGCACCTTGCCAATGCCTGAGTGACTACGAAATGTGGCCGTGCTCACCATTGGCAATCCAACGGGCTCAGGTATGCCGTGCTTTCTGAAGGGGAATGCACACACAGGTTGGCCGCTTACTGCTGCCAAAGCATAAAGTTTTCGAGAGGATCGCAAACGATTGTTATTCATTGGATACGAATTGAGTTGGCAGCATACTGTACAGGAGATTCATGTTTTACCCTAGAGATGCAACGTAGCAAGCGGCCCAGCTTGACGCTCCCCGTAGATTCCAGTGCACTTGTCAGTCGGAAGAGGTCTGCTAAGGACCTGGCTTGCTACTTTGCTTTGCATGTAGTGGCTACATATATGCATAACCGGCACAATTTTCTCTATGCCAACTTGAAACATGTATGGGGTTTTTCCTCCATGGTGGCTCGTACCTAATGGGTGGTCCACCAAGTGCAATCTTCCATGGCAACTCGCTGAAAAGTCAGGCTGTGTCTTGGTGAGCCACACCGTACTTCGCAAAACGTTTGTGTATATAGCTGCAAATAAGGAGCATGTGCACGAACCATGTTGCATGTTGCAAGACTGAGCACGACATGAGACGGAAAAAGTTCAATCCAATATCTCGACCATTTGGGAAGATTGGTATGCATGACCGTTGTATATTGCGCGTGCCCCAAAGCGTTGCATGTTGTGTTGCCACATGATAGAGAGCATGCAGCGGTTGTAACATGATGGTCTCTAATTTCAAATTCGCCTTACCGTACGCATGATCTCGAGACACTGAGCAGCATGCAACCTATATACAGTGCCGGGGCCCCACATATATGCATGAATCATGACGTACGGAATTAATGCAAATGTATAGGCGATCACTATATGGACGTTTTGCTGATTTTGGACGTACATGTGCAGCTTTAGAGGGCATGAAACTGCGCATCCGGTACATGCGCAGCACGTTGCTGACAGCATCTACTTGCCAGCTAGTGTTATTCAAACGTTAGTACGGAGGAGCCACTTTTCCATTCGAATATCAACAACAACGAGCTCCATGTTTGTTTGTGATCAGTCAGAACGCGCAACATGGGCTCATGATTGAGTGTCTAAGCATCACGATGTGATGCAAAAAGCAATTTTGCATTCACGCGCGAAAGACACTTAGTGACCAATTTCATGGTCGGCGCAAGCTGCAGCGACGAGCTGCATGCTGGTCGGCGCTCAATAATCGGACTGGCATTCAATGCAAGTCGAATACTCGGCTCAGCCCGGTCAGACATACACAAAAGCGGCTTGCCCGATCCGAATTGAAATCTGAAATGACTGATCGTCGAGTATGTGCTTCAAATCTACTCCTAGTTTGCTGAACGCGCTGCCTTTGCGTATAAATTACAACTTGACTAGCTACTGAGAAACAATTGGCTGTGGACCGGCAAAGTCGACTTATAGGAGCAAGGCTGACAGGACTGCGCCGGTAAGGGCCCAGCAGAAGCCCCGCAACTCCCGGGCAGCGAACACACTCTGTTTATGACAGCACAATACCAAGGAACACTGCAAAAATCGTTGCCAGCATGGCCTGCATCTTGCTCGCGCCCACCCGGACAGCTGGCGAGACCCTGGTGAGGTTGTTGTACTGCGCGAGGCTGATGGGCCACAGCGACCGGTCTGGCATCTCGCACTCGTCTCCGTTGAACCATATTCGCGTAGGGAACGAGTTCGAGTTGGCCTCTGCCAGCCGCTGCACCCCCGTCCCCAGCAGCGTGGTGCGCAGCGACGAGTTGCCCGTGAAGTTGAAGCCGAGCACCCACTCGATGTTCCCCGCCGCCAGCACCAGGTCGTTGTACCCCTTCACGCCCGAGAACAAAATCGTGGGCCGCTCCGCGCCTGCACACGCACACGCCGCCGGTCAGTGCGCACGCGGCAGCCCTCACTTGCATTCGTTGCACACGACTTCGGTGCCCTCATTAAATTGTTGATCCACAAATAGACAACCGAAGAAGAAAAGCAGGCCGGTGCGTGTCGACTTCATACAAGACGCACCCAACATTTCGACCTTGTGAACACGGACATTACAGCTCAACAATCCAAAAACAAGCTACGAAGGGGTTCAGCGCAATCGGACGAGGCGCTGCAGGCTAAGACGGGCCGCTTACCTGTGTCGCGGCGCCAGTTGACGGAGTAGACGTTCTGCAGGTAGTTCAGCTCGGGCAGCTCCGCGACGAGCATCCAGTCGGCAAGGTCCACGGGCAGCCGGTTGGCCGCCACGATCTTGACGGTCCAGCCGCCGTCGCCCGCGCTCACAATGTCGAAGTGCAGGTTGGAGGGGCAGCCGTCCAAGCAGCGGCCCGTGAGCGGGGCCGGGTACACGCGGCCCGCCTGTTCGACGCCGAGGGCGACCTGGCTGGCCACGGTGGGCAGGCTGCTGCTGTTGAAGTTGCACGTGCCGGGCGCAGGCACGAAGCCGGTGCCGGACGGGACGGGCGCCGCGGTGGGCGCCCCACCCTTGCCGGGGCAGTTGCCGCACGCGCACGACTTGCAGGGGGCCACCGTCTGGTTGAAGAAGGCCGACATGCTGACGCAGCACTTGGGCAGCGTCGCGTTCGGCTGCGTGGGGCCGCACGTGATGTTGTACGACGCTGCGCAGAGCCAGGCAGGGGGCGCGTCAGCGACAGGGCCGCACAGCCAGACGGAGGCAGGCCGCTCGTAAAACGAGAATCAGTTGCTGGCCCAAGTCGCAGGCCCCCTGCGGCAGCCGTGCTTGAGAAGACGCGGGGGGCGGGGGCGGCGCGCTCACCGTAGGCGGGGATGACCTGGCCGGAGATGGTGCCGAAGGGGACGTTCCGGCCGGCGACCTTGAGGGGCGGGTTGCAGGCCCAGCCGGGGAGGCCCACGGAAAAGTTCTGGGGCACGATGATGGTCGAGATCGCAAACTGGCGGGCCGGCTTGCCCTGAACCACACAGCGGCGGCAGTCAGTAACGCGGCGGAAGGCGGCCGTTGGGCGGGGCTCCGACAGTGGCAGGACAGCGGGGGAGGGCCGGCAGGCAGAGACAAGGGGAAGGCAGAGAGGCGCGGTAGCTGCAGCAGCAGTCTTCCTTGCCAGGTGATCGTCAGCGGTGACTAATCAGCAACGGGAGTTGACTCACGACGAGGACGGTGAAGTTGGCGGTGCTGTTCTGCACGCTGATGCCCTGGCCGGTGAGGATGCCCTTCTGGTCCGTGTTCTGGATCAGGTTGGGCGCGCTCGCGCAGCTGCCCTGGCTGTTGGCCACCTGCACGCCGAAGCTGGGGTAGTCGTTCACCGCGGGGTGCGTCGTGCAGTCGCCGAAGCTGCCCGCGTACCCGTTCACGATGTTCCAGATGAACCTGCGCCGCAACGACGGAACAAGGGGAGTCAGCCGAAGGCAGGGGAGACAGGGCAGCCGCGGCAAGAGGAGCGGCAAGGCTCCCGGAGGCGCTGCTGACTAACCACAGTCCCGCTGAGAAGAATCTCAGAACAGCTTCCTGAAGTGACACCCCGAGAGAGTGGCCCAGGTACGATCGGGCGGGGCGAGCGGGGGCCAGAGCGCGGCTGGTGCGCTCACTCGTTGTTCTGCCAGATCCAGCCGACGGCCCAGCCGCCGTTGATGGAGGTGTAGCGCTGCTGGTTGGTCACGCGGATCTGCACCTGGTACGTGCTCGCGTTGGCGTTCGTGATGTCCCAGTTGAGCAGAATGCCGCTGTAGTTCTGGCTGCTGAACGGCAGCGGGGCCGGCGCGGGCGCGGGCGGCAGCGGGATCTCGGAGCAGCACTGCACCACGCTGTTGTTGGTCGCTGCACGCAGGCACGCACGGGCAGGTGAGGAGACCACTCCGGGTTGTCTCACAAGCCTACTCCCAATGCTTTGTGGCTGAATTCCATTACAACCAAGCAGCCAGCATGCAGGAACATATCCTCGGCCGACGCGGCTGCCTGGGCAGGCGGTGCGGGGAGCAGGGCCTCACGGGAGGGGAAGGAGATGTTGCCGTCGGGGCACTCGTAGCCGGCGGCCTGCAGGATGATTCCCCCCGGGAGCGCCTGCGCCAGAGTAGCGGCGCCGCGCTGGGTGCCTTCGATGGTGCCGCTGCTGGAGTAGATGCTGGCGTTGCCCACCGCCTCCACGGCCGTGAAGAGGAAGGGGCGCGCCGCGGGGCTGATGAAAACCGTGATGTTGCCGGGGCGCGGCAGGTACTGGTCGCCCAGGTCCCAGTTGCTGACCTCACTGATCACCTCGCCGTTGCGCCACGCCAGGCGGACCTGGTAGCCCGTCAGGTCGCGCGTCCCCGTGTTGGCCACCGTCAGCTGCACACCGCGCCATGGACAGCCACGTCAAGGACCGGACAGGAGGGGGGTCACGTGGGATGGCAGGCAGGCCACCTGTCTGGCCGACAGGAAGAAGGGCAGCGGGGGCGGAGGGAGAGGGGGGCAGGCTCACCAGGCCGCGGAAGCCGTAGACGGTGCCGGTGGGGTCCGGGATGGGGGTGAGCGACAGGACGGTGTAGTTGATCTGCACCCCCTGGCACACTGGGGCCGGGGGCAACGGCGCGGGGGCCGGGGGCAAAGCCACCTCCACGCAGCACTGCCGCAGCGCCGCGCCTGCAAAAGAAGAGGGGGGGTGAGGCACACCGCACGCGCGAGCAGGCGGGGAGACAGGAACAGCGCACGCACAGGCAGAGGCGGGGATCTGAGCCAGGGAGACAGCAGCGCGGAGCTGAAGGCGGGGGCCTTACCGGAGCCGGTGGCGGCCGTCAGGTTGGCGGGGCTGCACGCGATGCCGGGCGCGTTGAGGCTGATGGTGGAAGGCAGCGCGGCCTTGGGCGTGGTGGCGCTGAACTCGGTGCCCTCGATGGAGGCGCGCAGCGCGTACTTGCTGATGTCACCCGCCACCAGCGCGGCATACGGCAACGTGTACGCACTGGGGGGGGCGCCGAACACCGTCGAATTACCTGCACCACCCATCTGAATGATTGAAGCGTCTGGTATGCGGAGAGGCCACATGAGACGGGACAACACAGGGGCTACATCTGCGACGCTCAGGCAGCGGTGGCAGGAGAGGAGGCCAAGACCGGATGCGCGGATAGGTCCGGTGAGAGGAGCGGTCAAAGGGACGGCGTGCGGGCGCCAGAGGGCTGTGCGCTGACCTGGGGCGGGGAGGGGCGTGGTGGGCGGCACGACGAGGTTGGTGGTGGTGGCGATGATCTCGCTGTTCTGGAAGCCGAAGGTGAGCGTCCAGGGCGGCAGCACGCGGCTGCCCACGTTGGCCACCACCACGCTCGCGTTGAACTTGAACGCCGCGTTGGACGGGTCCGGGATGGCCGTCAGGCTCGCGATGCTGTAGTCCACCGTCACGCCGGGGCACGGCGGCGCCGGCACGGGGGGGGCCACCGGCAGGCAGCACGCGCGCAGCAGGTTGGCTGCACACACCAAGGAGGGCCGGTGAGGGGAGGGGAAGACAGCCGGGGAAAGGACGAGTATAGAGGCAGCAAAAACAAGAACCGATAATTGTGTGTGACAAACAGGCAGCCCAAGCAAGCGGGCCGCACGAGCCTTTCCAGTCGCACGCAGGGGGCCCAAGAGTGGCGAGAGGGAGCAGTGGTGGGGGGGCGGTGACGGTGGGCTCACTGGTGTTGACGGGGTAGGAGAAGTTGGCGGGGTCGCACGTCAATCCTGCGACGCCGATGTCGATGCCGGTGGGCAGCGCCTCGCGCGCGGTGGCCGCGCCGACCTCGCTGCCCGCAAACGATGCCACGTATGTGTACAGGCTGCTGTTGCCCGCGGCCTGCGCCGTCGTGTTCACGTACGAGCCCGCAGGGGGGACGAACACCGTGCCGCTGCCTGTGTGCACCAAAGGAGCATGGTCAGACGGGGGTGCTCGAGGAGTGCCTGTTTAGCAACCCGAGTCTTTGCGATCCATCCTTGCCCCCCACACTCAACAGCCCGTCTTTAAGCTGCCGCTTAGTGGGCGCATGTGTTCAGGGCAGCGACAGGACAGCAGGCAACACCGGCCACGGCGAAAGCTCAGCCCTGGTGAGTGAGCGCACAGGGGCGGCCGCTGCTGACCTGGTGCCGGTAAGGAGTAGCCGGGCGCGACCTGGATGTTGTTGACAGTGCTGATGAGCTGGTTCTGCGCAAACTGGAAGGAGAGGCCCCACCCCTCCAGCGCCTTGCCCGCGTTGTTGGCCAAAGTCGTCTGCACCAAAGCGCACAGCAGCAACAGGTGAGAGCGGGCGGCGCAAGGGCGGCAGAGGGCTCGTGAGCGCACCTCAGGAGTAGTCCCTACAGAACGCATGCCCCTCTGCGGACCAGCAAGAGATCAGGAAGAGACCTGCGGCGCTTGAAGTTGAAGGGGTACCCCAGCATGTTACCCCTACAATCTAGATTGAAAGCTGTTCCAGCAGCCACTTCGTTCCCTGCACGGAATCTGGATGTGTTGCGGGTGAATGCCTAGACACGACAGATGACGAGGCAATCTTCCTCCTCTATGACACACAGCGGGGCAGTGCCCTCGTGCTGCGCGTACCTGCGCGTTGAACTGGTAGGCGCCGTCCTGGCCCGGGATGGCGGCCAGGCTGCTGATGGCGTAGTCCACCAGCACGCCCGCGGGGCACTGCGACACGTTCTGGGGGGCGGCAACGGGCAGCGCGGGACCAGGGGCGGGGCCCGGGGCCGGGGCCGGGGCGGGAACGGGGGCGGTGAGAGCCGTGGAGGGGGTGATGCAGCAGGAGCGCACCACGTTGCCTGCAAGCACGGCACACAGCAGCCAGCGGGTGAGGGCAGCGCGCACAGGGCAGGGGGCCTGGCAGGCCATGGCGCCAGGGGAGTCGAATCAAAGAGGGGAGGCAACAACAAAGAAGGTTGGGTTGTGGATACTGCGACAAGATGAGGGCCGCTGAAGGGGGTCTGTTAGGAGAGAAGGTCAATGAGAACACGAGTCTGCACGGATGGACCCTTCCTGGCCTCAGTGCTGATGTGACTGGCAGCAAGATGTGATGGATGGGACTGCCATGACCAAGGACTGACAAGGCCCGGGGAAAGAGGAGGTGGAAGGCCCCCCCTGCGAGCCCCTTTCCGACCCCCTAGGCATATTGACGTAGACTTCGAATGTCTGAAAGAGGAACGAATCGAAGAGGGGTCCCCAAGAGGCTGCTGACTGCTGCGTTCCTTGCCCTCGAACTCTGACCTCTAGTGTAAAAGCTCACCAGTCCCACCAACGGAGCCCACCTGACCTTGCAGTAGTCTACTACAAACTACGTACCTCCTTTTCACGATAAAGGCCCTCTCATTTTGTGCCCCCGCCAATCGACCTCACCTAATGCACTCAATCAGGCCCACTAAAACCCCCTTGCATAGCGCTGATGTGGTACTGTCAACGGTGTCGGGATTCAGCCATGTCTTACGCAAGGCTCTAGTGCAAAAGTACTCTCCTAAAAGCGCTACTGGGGCACTTCGAGTGCAGCACCTTCTATGGTTTCTCCTCACTCAGACTGTCTCCTCACTCAGACTGTCGGCTTCTGGCTGCGTCAAGTCCCCCCCTTCACCTCACAGCCAGACTCTTGCCTCTCTTGCAGCCTGTGCATGGCACCGCTGCTTGCTCATGCAAGCAATGGCAGCCCTAGACTCCCTACTTCGTAGAGGCGCAAGGATGCGAAGGGCACTCACTGCGGTTGGTGGGCGAGAGCACGTAGGCGGGCGGGCAGGTGACGCCGGGGGCGGTGATGCGCACGTACGCGGGCAGGGCCTGGGAAGCGTTGACGGCGCCTGTCTCCGTGCCCACCAGCTGCGCCTGCGTCGTGTACAGACTCTGGTCGCCCGCTGCGTTCTTGGCGCTCAGTAATGTCGTGTAGTTCCGTGGCGCACCAAAGAGCGTGGAGTTGCCTGCACCAGAGGAGCGCGTGGGGCTCAGCCAAGGGGCCCTGCGCACGCAGCCCCTGGGAGCAGCAGCAGCGGGGCCACATGCCCAGCAGAGCCAACCTGGGGCAGCGCCCTGCTCAGAGGGACCCGGAAGCGGGCAGGCGGCCGCAGCCAGCAGGCGGGGAGAGCATGAGCGGCGTACCTGGGAGGGGCGTGGCAGCGCCGGGTGGCAGCGTGAGGTTGCCGACCCTGGTGATGAGCTCGTTCCACTGGTAGCCAATGCTGACCTGCCAGCTGACCAGATTCACGTTGCCAATGTTCTGGAAGAAGACCGTGGCATCAAACGCATACACGTCCCCGCTCGGGTTCGGCACGAACGTCAGGCTGTTGATGACGTAGTCTATCAGGATGCCGGGGCAGATCAGCAGACCAGGGTTGCCTTGCGCATTCAGCGGAGGGTCCAGTACTACCTGGACAGGGGCAGGGGTGGCTGCACCACACAACAAGCGCACGTTCAGAGACCAGCTGATACAGTTGCTGAGAGCTCCGCACGGCTCACGCAGCCGCTTCCACCAGTCGACAGCACAGTCCAGCACCTTCCCAGGCTTGACGCAAAGGCGCCTTTTTGGTTGAACCTGCAAACTTAAAAGGTGGCACCTTGCAGCAACCTGCTGCCGGCCGGCCTGGGTGGTGGTCACGCTGGGGGGTTACCTGCGGGGGTGGCGGGGGCGGGCTGCGCCGCAGGGGCGTTGGGCTGAGCGGCCGCCAAGAGCAGCAGAGAGAGGAACGTCACCAACCGCACGCCGCGGACGGCAGCCATGGCGCGGGGCATCCACCCACCTGCAAACAGGGAGAGCGGCACTCAGGCACACGCACAGCAGCGCCACCATGCGGAAAGGATGACGCCACATGGCACCGACTGCAGGAGAATCAGGCAGCAAGAGCACACAAAGTTCAGGTCGTAGACAGGCGATACCACGCACGAGTCACCACCAAGACCAAACAAGAAGGCAGGCTCTGTGCAAAGGCGGTCCCGTGGTTAGATCTGTACTTATGGAAAGTTGGCGCATTAGACCAGGAGGTGCCCGGGCACTCCTCCGGCAAAAGGAGAAGCTTGTACCTCCCACAGACCTGGAGATCCAGAAACTGAAAGAACTTGGACGCGCATATCAAAGGGCCTTTGATCCTGAATAACGCTCGCTCATTGGCCCACAATCAAGTTACAATTGGAAAATGCTGAGGGGCAATCTCGTTGTTGAGTACAAAGTGATAGGTGCTGAACCCCCGTTTTGGAGACTGCCACATCACTCAATTTGCAGTTGGCTAAATCACCTTTTTCAACCCCAACCAGGTGGAAAGATGTTTTGGGGACTTCTGAGCCTGAGGGTGTAGCGCCTCTAGTGAATAAGAAAGGAGCACTCGTAAAGACCAACACTTTCCTAGCAAGTAGCCTCAGGTGTGGAGGCTATGTCTGATACTAAAGGTGCGACCTTTACAACGTACCCTGTTTAATGGACCATTGGGCAACGGCGCTTCAAACACAAACTCCGGTACACAGCTTTGATGACTGGCGGGCCAGGCAGATCTTCGACTCTACACAGGTGTGAACTGAAGCACCCCAGTGGTGGCGCAGCAACACGGGACAAGGTGGGGAACAGCAAAGGGGGAGCAGCAGAGAAAGCCACGGCATTGCCAGCAACACCCAGCAGAGGAGCGGACACTGGCAGGCAGAGGAGACCTTTCAAACCAGCACCCCGCCAGAAACAAGAGCAGACGGGTAGATCTGGAGCAGCAAGCAAGGGCAACAGCATTGCCAGCCACAGCATTGCATTCTACAACCAACAACGCAGATGCTCCCAGCACCATACCGCCCCTAGAAGGAAGGAACCAGCAGGGAAGAGAGTGTGTGCTTGATCACAGACAAAGCAAACTTTCTAATTTGCTTGCACACCACTCACCACACACCCTGCGGTTGCAAACCTCCCGCTGCTGGTCACCAAGCTGGTGCAGCTGCACCCCCCAAGAGTCCTTACAGTGTTGTTGATCCACCCAGGCCGTTTCCAGATCTGGACGGAGACTACTACCGTTCTTGAAGCTCGTTCTTGCGGCCACTAGCTAGTAGTAGTAGTAATCCAAGCACCTGCATTCGGAAGAGCGCTTTCTAGAGCGGTTTTAGTCTACCAAGTCTGACCGTCGGCGTAGTTCAAAACAAGAGGGCAGCATGTTGATCAGTGGCCCAGTGCCAGTGCCAGTGGTACTCAATTTGGTGCCAGCAGAGCCCGTACAAGGCCCCGGAGAAGCAGACTGTCCACCATCGGAACCGGCCGGGACGCCATCGCGTCGGGACTCGGGAGTCGGGACGCTGTCAGTGTTGGACGGTGTTGGACTCAGTACCTACTTAGTACATCGTACAGTACTTCGATTGCCACGCGGGCGGTCCGCACTCGGCGCTCAGCCCCCGATTCTTCCCTGAAAGCAAGATCTGACGGCTCTAAAATATGAAAACTACGGTGTCCGAATCCCGATCACTGTACCGTCAAGTACATGCCCTCACTCGCCGGGAGTCACGAGTCACTGGTTTACTCACTGGGCCCCCGGGCCTGACGTTGACCGGTCACCGCCGACTCACCGGTTTATGTTCGCTCACGTGAGGAAAGTTCGGCCGCGTGGCAACGCAGCTCGATCGTTGAAAACAATCCCCGTTGATCATTGGATCATGAGCTAGGACCTAGGCTTCAAATTCTTACTCAGATGATATTGTTCTCTTTTCAAATGCCGTAGCCACACCGGCGGGCCATACTGGCCATAGGCTTCCATGGCATACATGATCCTCTACCGAGCACGGATCGAGCACGGATCGCAGCTGTGAGTGTTGCCTATTCGAATTGCTCCTGATCGCTATTGCTTGGTATGTACGGTAGGAGTACTCCTAGTCGAGCCAAGTCCATAGCCTCATCCTGGACTCATGAGTCGTGTGACAGGCCCGGGTCCCACTCTTTCAATCGTCCGTCAAAGTTTTTCGCTCAACCTCATTTCGCCATGAGCTATATCATTAACAAGATGTTCGGATGTTTCGATACCGAACCATTGAACCATTGAAGTGAGGAGAAGATGTCGTTGATAATCGGATAGTACCGCCACGGAGGCTCGGATATGCTACAGAACATCGTTGCTAGGTTCATTGACCCGGCCAGGTTTGACGGCGCAATGCGGCGATGTCCGGACTGAGCAATAAGCGAGTTATACCACTCAGTCGAGCTCCACGATAGTATCCATGTATCATTCGACTTCCGAGTTTGATATCCCCCCAATGGAGGCAGTTCGCCCTCGGGGGCACCGCCCTCTGGTGGACTCATATCAGCCGCTGCGGTTCAACGCAAAGCCAGCAATATCGCCGAGCTCTTGGAGTATAATAGTCTAATAGGCGCCGGAACATGGAATATCGGAATACGGAATACCCATATTTGGGATCGGAAGAATCCGGGATACCCAAATTGATACGTACCTTTCAAAATGTCAAAAGCCGCATTTGCGAAACGGAATACAGATTACTTGAGCACCCTAGAATACGGAATACTGCCTTTTTGAAACCTTGTCAATGGAATACGGAATACTGGGGATCAAGTAATCCATGTTCCGGGGCCGAGTATAACAACGACATAGTCAAGATCCAAAAAATACGGGGAGAGTCCAAGAGAGAAAAGAGAGAAAAGAGCAAAAAAAGAGTCAAAATTGAGCTTGTAGTATATAAGCGGATCTACAGAGTCAAACTATGAATACTTGGTGACCCCCGGCCCGATTGGCCGTTTGTCACGGATCATACAGCATTGACGTCCATCGAATAGCACGTGCACTTAAGTACCTAGCTGGACGGTCGTTCTAAGTTTTGACCAGATATCTAAG